CTCCCTGCTGGGGACTTCCCAGCACACCAGGGAGACCCGTAGCAGCTTTTCTCGCCCCAGAGGACACGGTGGCGGGACCGCTGCGCTCCGGGCGGTCCCGCTGCCCGCGAGCTCCGGGGCGAGAAAAGCCCCGTTCGTAAGTGCGGATCCGACATAAGTCGGATCCACGTAAGTCGGGGACTGCCTGTATTGCTATTCTGAATTGTTTGCATTGTTGAACAAAAGACTATTTTCCCCATATAACACCACAAGAAAGTACTTTTACTGCTAGACTTCAAGGCCTCCTATAGCCTTAGAGACATCACTCCTGACTGTACAGATTACATTTTTAAGCAATCATTGCACACATCCAGCATATCTGAACCCCTCATACTTGCTTTCTGAAGGGACTTTGAATGCTACTCCACCACAGCGAATCTGAAAGTTTTCAAAAACCCTGAGCTCTGATTTAAATGTGTATATGCAGAATATGATATAATCTTTGTAATACCTTGTAGAAAAGGCTAGGACAATAATTACATTGTTAATTTTGTATCTCAGATTGATTGATTGATGAGATATTTACCTGTAATTGATTTAACAGTTTCAGTGGATACTGTATGCCCCAGCAGGTCATACTGAACTAAACTGGAGGACTCTTCAGGAACTTCCACAGATTGCTCAGGTCCTTTTGTCCAGGTGTAAATCATTTCACTCTTTGGATATGCATCTAAAAACAACATATTGTTAGCATGAAGAATGGAACAATGTATGGAACCACCCATGAACTTCAATGGAACTTCTATATGCACGACACTGTCAAGATCAAACTCCTAATTTGAGGTTAAATGTCATTTTTAAAATGTTTGGTAAGGGCACTGATCAAGGAATGGAAAGTTTAATTATGTCTACCAAAGGTAACTCTACACTACATGATAAACCCAGGTCTGCGAGACCCACCCTTGTGGATTCAGTGTTTCCAAGCCTACTCTTGAGGAACCATGGTGCTTTGTAAACCTGAGTTTACAATTTCCAAATCCAGGTCTCACAGTTGTGCTAATGCACTCATACTGCACTGCACAGACTTTCTGACTCTCAGCTGACACTAGAACTGTGTCCAAACTGCAAAACAATAGTTTTGGACTGAGTCTCAGTCAGTACATCTACCCAGCCTGCAGAAGCAAAACTCCTAGCCTGGGTCCACAGATGTGGACTAGCAAGGTTTGCCCTCACACTGTAAAAATAGCAGTGTGACACCACCCTCAATTTGTAGCTTGGGCTCTGACGCCCACAACTTCAGAACCCAAGCTCCAGTCATAGCCACACCTTCAAAGCTATTTTTAGAGCACTAATGGGAGCCCCACTTACTTAAGCCTGTCAATCCAGGCTGGGAGTGTAGGTTGTGAGGACTGTGTAAACTAGGGCTACTCAACTTTGTAAGCCCCAAGGCCACAATGATACTCACAGTACTCACCGAAGATCACAACTTAAGTGTGGTTGCATACGCTGACGGGCATGAATACAAAGATTAAGGCAAGACTATACAAGACGGAGGCCCTATATAAGTCAGTTCTGCTGATATTAATAAAATGCAATATTTACCTGATTTCCACCCATATGACAGCACATTTAATGAGCTAGTCCAGGAATTTAACTACTAAAATGCATATCAACGGAAGACAATTATATTGACTCGCCATTACGCTGTGTGTTCCCAGTGGAGGCCATGTTAAAAGGATCCCACCAATGGACCACGTGTTGAGTGCTGCATAAACCCAAACCGCACAGTGAGCCGCAAACAATTGGGTCGCATGTTAACTAGACCTGGTGTAAATATAGTGGGACTCAAACTTAGATCCAACCCCTACCATTTGGGTCCTAGGCTCTGCTCCTGAATGCTTGCTGATCTGAGTCTGCTAGAGATCTGTGTGTGGACAAATGGAGGGATTTTGGTTCAAAACTAAATCTGAGCCCAGGTTTAAAAATTCAGTGTAGACGCATGCAGGTGGATACATTTGAGAGGCCAGGGACACTTATTTTAACACTTTTGCCAAGCTCAGGAATTTTCAAAATATTTGCCAAAATCTGAAGGCCTGTAAACAATTCCCAATACCCAAAATATACCCCCATGAAATAGTCAAATAATATGAAGTGAAATGTTAATGCCTTACATGTAGTTTACATAGCCAAAACTCATTAATGCCAAATCCAACTCTCTTTTTACACGTGAAGTGACCTTTTTACCATTTCATTGAACATAGGGCCAGATACTCCAATCTGCCAACTGCAATTTTCACTGCACATATTTAATCCCCTGGAGAATTCTTCCTGTATAGGGGGAAATCTCTGATATTTTATAGTTCCTGGAATAATCACCTCTTATTCCAGCTGCCATCCATCAGGAAAAATGAGGAATTTAGGGGTGGGTGGTACAGCCAACTCCTATGCTTGATTTTCAACTAGTGTAAGCGGAATTTATGCCCAGTGTCAGAAGTTAAAGTTACATGCCCTATTGCTCTAGCTTCCTCTGGAAGTGGGTTTCCAGGACATAAGGAGCTGCAGCAAACTCTCTGCAGCCATACCTATGCACAGTATCTGACTGCAGCAGAGGACATGCCAGGGGTTTGATGAGGGAATGGATAAATTGTAACATGCCCCACTAGTCCCCAGGCTGCTCAAAAGTGCTCTGAAGACACGAGAAAGAAATGGGGAGCCACGATTGTCTCCTCCCCATATGCAAGATGGAGGCAATAAAGAATCTAGCCCAATAAGCTACCAACAGAGAATATTTAAAAAATTAGGAGCTATCTGTAAGATCTGATTTCTGAAAGCTATACTTTTTATGTCAGACACTTGGGCCAGGTCTACACTAGACCTGGAAGGTCGGCGTAAGGTGCACAGCTCCAGCTATGTAGACTACTTACCTGAAGTCAGTTTACCCTAAGTTGAGTTTGGCGATGTCCACACAGTGGGAGGCCAATGGAAGCAAATCTCCCATCAGTTTCCCTTACTTCTCATGACTGAGAAATACAGACACCAGCTGGAGCTGCCCTCATCATTTGATTTACAGGTCTATACTAGACCCACTAAATAGAACACCAGAAGATTGACCTCTGGAGCATGGATCTGCCAGTAACTATAGACGTGGCCTAAGGGTCTGAGCCAAAGCCAGCTGGAGTCAATAGAAAGTTTTCCATAGACTTCAGTGAATAATAGATCAGACCCTGAAATATCCTTGTAGTTGGAGAGGTGGATCTTAATTTAATATCTGAATTTGTGCCCCTTTGTTAATTTGCTGCCCTGATAGCACTATGGGTTTGATTAATTGCTCTTATATAAATAAAACTCATACTGAAGTCAATGAGATTTTTCTATGTATAAAGCTTGTGGCTCATGTCTAGGATTCAGAAACCTCAGTTATGGTACAAATAATTGTTTACAATCCACATCTGTTTTAATACTAGAGCTACAATAAATTCATAATCGTAACTTACAACTTCCAAATTTGAGAGGACAAGCATGACCATCCATTGGAAAATCCACTAATCTCATGGGACATTCTGCACTTATGGTAAGCCTATAATGAAAAAAAAATATGCTTTGGTTTAGGTTTTGTCTGTGCAGTATAACTTTCTTTACAGTAACTGAAACAGGACAAATAAACTGAATACCTCATAGTGTATAATATGGTGCCATTTCTCATTATTCTAAAGAGTTTATTTGGGGCTGTCATATTATGTGAGACGGATTTTTTCCCATTCCTGAAAAAAGTGTCAGGTGTCCACACTTTTGAAACCATCATATTATTAAGTCTTAAAATTTCAATGGGACCATCATATTTTAATCTTTTGTCCACCCATGTCTGACGAAAGAAGACATCCATTGTGTATTCCTATAATAAATTGTAGAAAAACAGAATATTACACTTTTATTTGTACAACTCTTGTAAAAAATACCTTAAGTGCAAACAAATGAGTGGTGATGTAAATGTTGCTAAGTCACCTACAAAATATATTTCCACCAATTAAAATGAATTGTGCACTTCTTAATTTCCCATGTTAGCCATATAAATAAATTGCTATACATATTTAATCATTCAAGAGTAATTACTATAATCTAATAAAATTGCAGGAAGCAAACAATTATGTTTGTACTCTAGCATATAACTGGAAACAAGATGACTAATGTGATAACAAGTGTCAATGGATTATAGAAAGATATACATGCATATGTTGTTGGGGGTTTTTTAATACAGTTGGTCACATTAAAATTATTATTCCTCTCAGTTCACCAAAAAACATACAAGGAAATAGATATCTAATTTAAATTGAAAAAGCAGGTGGTTTATTAAAAAAGGATCAGTTGTTCTTTTGTCACATCTACAAAAAAGGGTATATAAAACAAACCCTCGTTCTGCAAACATTTAGGCCGTGATTATACTAGGAGATTTAGAATTTACTAAAATCAGCTTCTGGGCACCTGATATTACAAATGTGAAGTTCTGTGTCTTCACTATGGGGAAGAATCGAATACAGTTGGAGGCAGTCTCCGTTAACATGGACGCGCTTGTGATGGGGTACGGTTACAGAAGACCCCTTGGTGGTGCTTCCCGGAGTACTGACAAAGCCACTGATATTCGCCTCTTTGCTCTCTGGGGCTTCTCACTATCTGTCCTTCTGGACCAAGTTTCCCTCAGTCAAGGCACAGAGCTGAGATCAATCCCCACCTCCCATAGGAGCAATATTGACACAAACTCTTCAAGTCCAAGGAAAAAGCAATTTTGGGCCCAGCTTTCAGGAAAAGCACCAAATGGGATCAGAACCCCAAATAAATTATTTAGGTAAGCCTCCTTCAACAATGAAAGGAGGATGTATGTGCTGATTACTCCCCCAGGTATTTACACTGGGCTTAAGTAAATAAAAGTGATTTTATCATCAAGTATAAGCAATAGGATTTAAGTGGCTGCAAGTGAAAACAGGCAGAGCAAAGGGACTCTGAGCCCCAGGAAGCACTCTGAGGAGCTGTGGAAGGCCTCCTGGAGGCCAATTTGTTCAAATTAGTGGCACCGGAGCATCCACAGTAATGTTATTTTGGATTTACAAGTTTGGGAATAGCATTTTATCTCATGAAAAGCAGGACTACAAAATTCAAATTACATGGCCCCTTATTCTGGAGTAATGGGCTTGGTAGCATGGATGCATTGCTTACAAATTCAACCTGGGTGAGCTAATTTCAGACTCAAGTCCTAGTGTAGGCCAGGCCTTAGGTTTCAACTTTAAGCACTTAGGGTAGTACCACTGACTTCCATGGGACTACTCATATGCTTAAAATAAAACATGTGCATAAATATTTGCATTGATTAGGGCCATGAATATGTAATAAGAACACATGCATAAATGAATGTATGAAGACATGAATGTTTACATGGGTATTTTTAATCTGGGATATCAGGGCGTTTGCACAAAATTGGTTTACAGGTTAAAGGCACTATTCCCTCAGCTGTAAGGTACCTGCAGTTTTGTGCTAAAACATTTTAAAATTATTGTGATATGATTTCTTTCTGGCAATTTTCCAAGAAACATATGAAATATAAAACCTCATCATTAGATCCAACAAACACTTCCTCACATGGGTAATCAACCAGCCAATGAAACTGTGTTATTGTTACTAGTGACTATTCAGATGAGGAAAGTTTTGTAAGACTGGGCTCCTAATTTTATTGTAGAAGGGAGATAGCTTGGCTTCGGGAACTTATTTTGTATATGGACGGAGTATTTCATGGTCTTTCACTGCCTTTGTCCGTTCTCTCCTTCCCCTTCCGCCTTGTGTTCATTCTTACCCCTGCTACATAGTACCAAATTCAGTTTACGGTTATACAGTTCTGCATAATACCTAATGTTATGTCATTGAGCACAGTAAGACTGCTTGCTTCTGTAAAAAGTACTCTAAGTGAGTAATGGTTACAGAATTGAGCCTTAAGTCTCATGCACATTGGGACAGAGATTTGCCAAATCTAGTTGCCTATAAAGTGCCAAGCACACTCATAGTGCTGTATAATTGAGTGAGCTGAGCTAATAATTCACAATTAGTTTAGTTGACAAATACTTAATTATCACAGAATAAAGACTATCTCAAATGAATACATTACTCAGATTTACTTGGGACCAAATTCTGATATCTTAACTCATGCTGAATAGCACTTTAACTCACAAATGCAATCACTGAATGAGCAAGGTCCTATTCAGGTGCTGTAAGGCTATCAGAATCTGACCCTTGAAGAATCTTGTCTAAACTTCATTCTAAGACTTAAATGTAGCTACATAATTTGAGTTATGGTGCTTAGCCACATAAATCACATGACATTTCCGCCCCCCCCCCTTTTCCGCCCTTATTAAGTGTAGAACTTGCACCACACAAATAAATAGGACTTATTCTGGATCAGGCCTTGAATGTTCCTGAAAGTGTTCCACACTCAAATGTGTATGCGCATTTAACATCTGTCTTTGGTGACTGCTCGTGCACATCACTTTGACATTTTCTTTTGGCAAACATGTTTTCTGGCAAGATTCTTTCACTTAAATGTTTAGTGAAAGTGAGGCCAAGAAGGGTAGGAAGATGGACAACTAATTCATTTGAAGTGAAAATGTCAGCAAATATTTAGGGAATAATACCATTATTTACCCATTAATAATAAATACTAATCAACTGGTGAGGCAGAGAAAGGCAAGCTCCAGAGGGGAAAGCATCTCCGTGATCTCAGAGAAACCATCTGCTCTCCATACACTGCTCTCAGATACCTCAGTGGGCCCGAGTTGTCTCCAACAGTAGTATAAATTAATGTGAATTCTTTACATCAGTCTAAAAAACAGTCTGAGTGAGATCAGAATCAGGCCTGCCCTTTCTAATTATAGCCTACAAATTAAGCTGTTGGTAATCTTTTCTAATTTGTACTGTACTGTCAATCATGCAAAGTCATATGAATTAAGCATGCATTCCTTCCTGCAGTTAACGGTTTCTCAGCACCAGAAAGTGGTATTTTAATTCCAGAAGTACATACCATTTCTACATCAGAAACAGGTCCAAAACTGGTGACATATATATCTGTTTTGACTTCAGTAACCGGACCTAACATATAAAAAGGAAGTGAGCAAGACATTTTGCAGGTTAACATGTCTCAAAAAAGGATCTCAGAACATATACCACATTTTATGCCATAGTCACACTGAAGGGTCTGTGGATTAATCAGAGGAAAATGCATAGACAGCATGTTCTCAGAAGCAGGCCTACTGTAATTTTCCAGGGTTGCATGGCATTATCAGAGTATTAACTTCACTTGCATACTTCGACTCACTGGAGAAGATGACAGGTGCCCCAGCAGAAAAATCTTAAGAAAATTATTATTTAAACAATTAGGGGATTCATTCAGCAAAGTCTTATTACCAAGACCAAATTACTTACTATTTAACATGCATATGTCTAATTAAAATTAATGGAACTACAAACACTATATGCAGTATGCTACCTTTGACCCATTCTTGCAAATTCCATTGATATTAACACAATGTACTTTAAGTTATACTGAATAACTATGTCCAGTCTATTGAAAGGTATAGGACATGGGAAGTGACAGTTCACTGCAAAGCTTCTCCACCTAAACCGATCTTTGTACTTTGCCATTCTAAAGAGAAATTACTTCTAGAAGAAGGTACTGTAATTCCAGCAACCAATAAGGGTCTGATCTAACTGCCATTAAAGTAAATGGAAAGACTTCTGCAAATTTTAATGGGAGTTGGATCTGTCCCTACTGTGAAAGCTAAGAAGTTGCCACCCTAATTATATGGGTGTTTTATGAAGTGGATACTAGTCCAATGTGCAAGTTTAAATTGCAAATCAACTCATATCATATATGCTGTCAAACAGCCATTATATGGTAACAGCTTTGGGATATTTGAACTGGTAACCTAGAGGTGAAAGGATTCAGTTTCCAGTCTCCTGAGATTACTGATTCTAAAGAAAAAAAAACATTATTTGAGTCTATATTAACTCAGGCTTTTTGATAGCTTCTACAATTCAATTAGCAGCAAGTGAGAACTTTAAGACTTTATTTCAAAGGCAAAGAATGTCTGCCTCTTGTAAAACTGTTGTGTGCACAGATGTAATTTTAAATCACAATGCAGAAATGAAAAGAACTAGACAACTTGCAAACAAGTTAACTATTTCTCTCTTAAGCCAAGCACACACATTGCATACTACAAACCAAAAGCATATTAAAAGTTTGTAAAATTATTCCATTAAACAGCCTGCAAATTTTGTCTTAAGAATAAGTTAGAAGAAAATGCAAGCACTATTCTGTACTAGTCAAGGACATAAGAATATTAGACACCATATTTTAGATTATATAAACCATCTTAGTCAATTAATTCATCTGTCAAGCATCAAGAAACTGGGTTTTAACATTCCTCAAACTATTTTACTTCCTCTCGCTTTTCGAAAAGTTCCCCCCCCCCTAATTTGAATTCACAAATCGCTATAACTTTATAACTACATCAAAATCAAAGGCTCAAAAATCCACTGGAATGGGTGCTTCTTGCAGGCATTGACTGATTATTTTGGTCTACTAAATAGCTATAACCTCATGGGTAATAAGTTTATCAGAGGGTATTAAGTGAAATCATTCTTTGGAGTATCCTGAAAAAGAGGATCTAAAACAAAGGCTAGAAAATGAATTTAAAAATCTCAAAATTAGGCAACAAAGAGGTCTAAATTCAGTACAATATCTTGCCATCTCATGAGACCAGTTGGAGTAACTAGCTAGGCCCTCATGTCATAGGCAGGTGGAGACAAGAAACACTGCAGAGTAGGGATGTAAAGGTTAACCAATAAGAACGCCCCTTAGCGGCATGCTTTCCTGGGTAACTGGTTAACTAACAGGGATTGCTCTGGCTGGGCCTGGCCCAGCTGGAGCACCACCTCCACATCCCCTTCCTGTAGCATGGTGTGGCAAGCTCTGCCAGAGCAGCTCCCACCTACCTACGGCAATGGATAGGGAGGTGCTTCAGCCAACAAGTTGGGCTGGAGGAGCCCCCCCACTGTGATTAATCGATTCAACACTTCATTTAACCAGTAACCACCTAACCAGGATTTTCTCTCTCTACTGCAGAGTACAGCTGTGCAACAAGCAGAATTGCCAACATTTCAAAATGTGTTTTCTTCTGAATTTTCCACAAAGAAGTTAGACTTTTTATACATATAAATGTCTGAAGAAAAGTCATTTTGAAACAGAAAAAATCAGTTCCAAAAATACCAAAATGAAACACATGAATCTTAATAAAGGATTCCTTCCCCTTCTTTTTTACCTACAAAATGAAGTTTCATCAAAACAGACACATTCCCAAGATAAGTTTCTATCTTCACAAAATGGCATTTTCCAATGTAAAAATGATGGATTGGAAAATTATTACATTTACTTCTGCAGTAGAACTAATTTAAGGCATTACATCCAATATCTAAATATCAATGTAAATAAAACAACAACTTTAATTTTGAGGGGAATGTCATACTTTGAAACTAAAAAGTGAAATATTAATGGCAGTTTACAGAACTAGCCATAATGAATGTAAGCAATATTCACATTTTTCCCTAGAATGCTACCACTCGCCCACACACACTGCTTTTCTGCTCACTGGCCACAGGTTTACCATCGTGATAAAGTGCTTGGTCATTTGGAAGTGTGTACTAGGATCAGGTATGTAGTCAAAATAATTTTTTCTTAAGACTAAATGATTCTTCAGCATGAAAGCACTCTACCTCTTACCTTGAGATTACAGTTAATCATAATGACGTGTTACAAAATCCTAACTCGCTGTTAGTAAGAGTGAACTTTTAACCATAAGCAGAGGATTCTATAGAAGCCAATTACCACTGAAATTGATCAACAAAATTTGCTCTTCACTGGACCATGTGAATGTTTCTGTACACTCAAATTCTCAGAAACATCAAGTAACTATTTACAACACGCTCATTACGAATGTGTTTTAAGCCATTAAATAGTAGGGAGTCCTGCACACTGCTATAGGCACTATAAAGCCAAAATCACAGGCTGCAAGATAAACACTTCTAGATCTGCTCACATAGGGTTAACACCAACCACACCAAAAAGTTAGAATAATTGGGCACATACAGGGAAGTTGATGGATTACTGAAAAGCACAGATTCCAACCCCCAAAATTATGTGCAGGCCAAAGGAATATCATAGTGGTCCCATGACTGTTATTCCAGCCAACGAGCTGAATTGTAGCCACAAGCCTCCCAGAACGCCTATGAAGAGGCTCTGAACCTTGTACGTTAGCAATAAGAGGGTGATCAGAGAGGGTGTGGAACCCTTACTGGATGAGAAAGGTAACCTACTGACAGATGATGTGGAAAAAATGCTGAAGTACTCAATGCTTTTTTTGCTTTGTCTTCACAGACATGGTCAGATGCCAGACTACTGCACTAGGCAGCATGGGAAGGAAGTGGGCAGCTGTTGGTGGAGAAAGAACCAGGTTAAGAACTATTTAGAAAAGCTAGACATACGCAAATCCATGGGTCTGGATTTAATGCATCCAAGAGTACTGAGGGAGTTGGCAGATGTCATTGCAGATCCTTTGGTCATTATCTTTGAAAACTCGTGGCAATCAGGAGAGGTCCCAGATGACTGGAAAAAGGCAAATGTAGTGCCCATCTTTAAAAAGGGAAGAAGGGCTGTCTATAGTTCCCAGGATTGGACAGCCTCACCTCAGTCCCCAGAAAAGTCATGGAGGGGATCCTCAAGGAGTCTATTTTGAAGCACTTGGAAGAGGAGAAAGTGATCAGGAATAGTCAACATGGATTCACTAAAGGCAAGCCTGACCAACCTCATCATAGAAGCAATTGGCTCTGTAGACAAGGGGAAGTCAGTGAATGTGATATACCTTGACATTAGCAATGTTCTTAGCAGCAGGTTAAGGAAGTATGAATTGAATAAATGAACTGTAAAGTGGCTGGAAAGCTGGCTAGATTGTTGGGCTCAATGGGTAGTGATCAATGGCTTGATATCTAGCTGGCAATTTCAAGCAGAACGCCCCAAGGATCGGTTCTAGGACTGGCTTTGTTAAACATCTTTATTAATGACCTGGATAAGGGGATGGATTGCACCCTCAGCAAGTATGCAGATAACACTTAGCTAGGGGGTTGAGGTAGATGTGTTAGAGGGTAGGGATAGGGTACAGAGTGACCTAGACAAACTGGAGAATTGCACCAAAAAAATCTGATGAGGTTCAACAAAGACAAGTGCAGAGTCCGGCACTTGGGACAGAAGAATCCCAAGCACTGTTACAGGTTGCAGACTGATTGATTAAGTAGCAGTTCAGCAGAAAAGGACCTGGGAATTACAGTGGATGAAATTGTTGACTAATATCCAGCTCATGTCCTTGTAGCCAAAAAGGACAATGGCATATTGGGGTGCATTAGGAGGAGCATTGCCAGCAGAAATAGAGAAGTGATTATTCCCCTTTATTCGGCTCTGGTGAGGCTATATCTTGAGTATTGCATCCAGCTCTGGGCCCTTCTCTCCCCCCCCCCCCCCCCACTATAGAAAGGATGTAGATGCATTGGAGAGGATCCAGAGAGGGCAGCCAAAACAAGTAAGGGGCTGGAACAAATTATCTATGAGGAAAGACTGAGGGATTCAGGCTTATTTAGTCTGCAGAAGAGAAGAGTGAGGGCAGATTTGATAGCAGGCTACAACTTCCTGAAGGGAGGTTCCAGAGAAGATGGAGCAAGGCTGTTCTCAGTGGTGACAGATGGCAAAACAAAGAGCAATGGTCTTGAGTTACAGGGGGGGAGGCCTAGGTTGGATATTAGGAAAAACTATTTCACTAGGAGGGTGGTGAAGTAATGGAATGGGTTACATAGGGACATGGTGGACTCTCCATCCCTAGAAGTTTTTAAGTCCGGCTTGACAAAGCCCTGGCTAGGATCATTTAGCTGGGGTTAGTCCTGCTTCAGGCAAGGGGCTGGACTCAATGACCTCCCGAGGTCTCTTCCAGCCCTATGATTCTATGAATCTGTGTCACACTTGGGCTATCCTCAGGGGACAATTCTAA